GAAGGAGAAGGAGAAGGAGAAGAAGGAGAAGGAGAGGAGGAGGAGGAGGAGGAGGAGAATAGAATAACAGAGTTGGAAGCTAGTCCAGCCCCCACGAGGATGCTGCAACGGTCCTAAGTGTGAAAAACGGTCCTACGTCATTTTTTCCCAGTGCCGTTGTAACTTCAAACGGTCACTAAATGAATTGTTGTAAGTTGAGGAGTCTGGTACTTTGAGAAACCCACCTGAGACTTGAGTTTTCCCAATTCTTCTTAGAACTAAGGAGAAACTTCCTGACAGCGAGAACAATTAACCAGTGGAACAACCTGCCTCCAGAAGCGGTGAATGCTCCAACACTGGAAGTTTTTAAGAAGAGACTGGACAGCCATCTGTCTGAAATGGTGTAGGGTTTCCTGCCTGAGCAAGGGGTTGGACTAGATGACCTCCAAGGTCCCTTCCAACTTTTTTTATTATTATTATTATTAAGAAAAAAAGGAATTTTACAGAACATTCGTAAGGCGAGCAATGCTGCCCCCTGGTGGCTGTTTCCCCTCCTAAACCTCCGTCGCTGGGTCCGCCTTTGTTTTTTCCATCAGGCCAAATTAGATACAGCTCTTTGCAGCCTGCTATTCATTTGCAAAGAACCTGCTGGAGGTGTAATAATTAATAAAATGCCGGAGGCAAGGAGCAGGAGCTTAAGACCTTTCCTCCTGCAGGGCGGCTAATGAAAACCATTTCTTCAATAAACTGAACTTCCAGCCCTTTTAAAATGCATTTAACTCTCCCGATCCTCAAGCCTTAGGAGATCAGGGACCCAGGCAGAGAAAAGCTCTCTTGTTTTGCTGGCAAACAGCCCTGCAGGGATGTGGGTAAGGGGGGAGAGAGAGAGAGACGAGGGGGAAGCCCCAATTAATAATAATGATGATGATAAAGTTGGAAGGGACCTTGGAGGTCATCTAGTCCAACCCCCTGCTCAGGCAGGAAACCCTACACCATTTCAGACAAATGGCTGTCCAGTCTCTTCTTTAAAACTTCCAGTGTTGGAGCATTCACCACTTCTGGAGGCAGGTTGTTCCACTGGTTAATTGTTCTCACTGTCAGGAAGTTTCTCCTTAGTTCCAGGTTGCTTCTCTCCTTGATGAGTTTCCACCTGTTGCTTCTTCTCCTGCCTTCAGGTGCTTTGGAAAATAGCTTGACTGCCTCTTCTTTGGGGCAGCCCCTGAGATATTGGAACACTGCTATCATGTCCCCCCTCGTCCTTCTCTTCGTTAAACTAGACCTACCCAATTCCAGCAACCGTTCCTTATATGTTTTAGCCTCCAGTCCCCTAATCATCTTCGTTGCTCTTCTCTGCACTCTTTCTAGAGTCTCAGCATCTTTTTTACATCGTGGTGACCAAAACTGGATGCAGGATTCCAAGTGTGGCCTTACCAAGGCCTTGTAAAGTGGTATTAACACTTCACGTGATCTCGATTCTATCCCTCTGTTGATGCAGCCCAGCACTGTGTTGGCCTTTTTGGCAGCTGCAGCACACGGCTGGCTCCTCTTTAAGGGATTGCCCACTAGGACTCCGAGATCCCTCTCACAGTTACTACTATTGAGCGAGGTACTCCCTATACTATACCTGTACATTTGGCTTTTCTTGCCTAAATGTAGAACCTTACTTTTTTCACCATTGAATTTCATTTTGTTAGATAGTGGTCAGTGTTCAAGTCTGTCCAGATTCTTCTGTATCTTAAATAAAATAGGATTTGTTTATCGGATATGGGATAGCCTCAGATGTCCTTTGACAGCCGTGGTTCATGAATTGTCAAAGGTTGCCACAGGGCTTCAAGGTTCCCGTTTCACACACAAATCTGCAAAAAAAAAAACCACCACAAAACTTCACAGGTTCAACAAGAGGAGAGAAGAGAGGGAAAAGGCTGATTAGTTTGCAAAAATTCATCCCATTTTCTGCTGCTAAAGAAATCAGTTCCCCCCCCCCAGATCCGAGCCTGGATTTACGCCAATTCCACCTTGATGGAGGGAAAATAAAGACATTTCAAAGAAATTATTAGGATTTGGCTAATAGGAAAGGGTAGAAAGCAATTTTAAAAAATCAGTAGCATAGTCCCTCTTTATTTTATTTTTTTCCTAACGGGAGAAAGCTGCAGACTGGGGGGGGGGGGAAACAACACCAACCTTTAAGTAGTCCCCATGGCATCTCCAAATGTTGGTTTATAATAATCAAAGGGGAGAATGCCAGGGAGAAATTAAGGCCACTTAAAGGGAGAACATGAGCTTGGTAAATGAGCTGCTTTTGATTTCTTACTGGGTCTTCATTCTTTCTTTTTTTTTTTTTCTTTCTTTGTATTTGTGGGGTGCTTGATAGCTTCGTTCCCGCGTCTCTCCGTTGGTTTCTTTCTGTCTCTTTTTTCTCATAATTTCAAAATGTTATTAATTTACAATATAAAATGCAAAAGAAAATAATGGAAAAGGAAGGGAGGAAAAGGGGAAGAGAGACGTGTGGGGCAAAAGGACAAAAGAAAGAAAAAACACTGGTGCAGTAGAATAAGGTAATAGCATCAAACACTCAACTTTTCACTTTTATATGATAATATAAAACTAGCCGTTTCTACCTACCTAATTGGTAAAACCCCAAATCAAGGGTTTGGGGTTTTTTCCCACCTCGAGCACAAAGTCCAAAAGCGGTTTCCAGGTAGAAACAAAAGTAACTGTGTGGGGGTTTTTTCTTTTCTTTTCCACCTCTGCTAACTCCACTGGCTTTCCCATCCATCCCTCCATTGTGGGAATTGAAGCGTCCTTCCGTTTTTTGTGCAGAAAGTGATCTTGCTGCCATCAACATATATAAGATCCAAGTCCCAAATTTTGATCCAGCAGCTTTCTTGAAGTGCTGTGTGGAGGAGGAGGAGGAGGAGGAGGAGGAGGAGGAGGAGGAGGAG